TTCAGGACAGGCTCATGAGTTGTCTGCCCCCCTTCCACCCCCTTCTTCCGGAGCGTCAGCCAAAGTTAACGGCCTTCCTTTAAACTTAAACAAACAAACATAGGACCTTCAGCCGAAAACCTGTAAACTGCTATCTTAAAAGATTTTGTTTTCAGCAAGTTGATCCCTCCTCGGTAGCGACAGCCAATCTATTGTAAATACAGGAACAAAAAGATCTTTGAATAATTTAGACTGAGTCGCAAGTCGGGGTTCGTGTTTGGAGACTCTGATCCCTGCGATTTGAAATCGATCATTCATTTTCAATAACATTCGCATAGAGTGGTCATTCGAGTAGACATTAGAGTAGACATCAGAGAGTAGAAATTGGTCTCACACAACCCTAGTTGTAACTAAAACTTAGTTAAGAAGAACCAGGAGAGAAGTTAATGCACCAAAAGTTTTGTCCGAGGAGTCGTAGAGATGTTTGTCCAACTTCGCACACGAGACGTAATCGAATATTTCATTTGCGCGTGATACTCAAATGAAAAAAAAAGAAAATTGATAATTTAGTGGGTGTGTCGCTAGAGCCAGTCTGACAAATTTTGGTTTTACACTCAAGAAAATTCTTACAGTAATTCTTTGAAACTTGTGCCAAAGGTCATATTTGTACAATGCAGCCAACGGGAGGCCGGCACCGTTATCAAAATTTAAAAAAAAAATGTGAACCAACAGCATCAGCGGCGGCATGATCACCGCCAGAGGGCCGCGTGGCAGCATGGGTAATCTGAACAAGTTGCAGACGTGAAAGATTAATCTTTAATATGCTGTAATATCCCCTGGTGATCGTTAAAATATCATTATGGATTTCTGGGGGCTAAGGAAAGTTGGTGCGTGAGATTTTTTGTCTCTTTAATTATGATTTTTTTTTTTTTTTCGCCCAGGCTTTGGGAAAGCATTGATTTTTTTTTCCACACGTGGCATTTCCAAAATAACCTTTCTCAACTAAGGTTGGTGGTGCACACTTTTCTACCGTGATCAGATTGTCTTAATTTTTTAAAAATGAATTCTATTTCATTGTTTAATCTGCTTGTTTTGATTTTAGACGAGCCATCCCTTGCTGTTGATTAATGTCTCAATCTCTAAGTGCCCATCATTTCTCTTGTGGTTTGGGATTTCTTGAAACAATTTGCTGTTATTGTTGCACCTCCTTCAAAATAACACTTTTTTTTTTTCTTCTTATCATCTGTGGTTTCTCGTCATGCCTGTTGACTCATCAAAGCTGTCCTTTGATCGTAACACTAGACCAGCTTTGTCCTTTGATCGTAACACTAGACCAGCTTTGTCCTTTGGTCGTAACATTAGACCAGCTTTGTCCTGTGATCGTAACATTAGACCAGCTTTGTCCTTTGATCGTAACATTAGACCAGCTTTGTCCTTTGGTCGTAACATTAGACCAGCTTTGTCCTTTGATCGTAACATTAGACCAGCTTTGTCCTTTCATCGTAACACTAGACCAGCTTTGTCCTTTGATCGTAACATTAGACCAGCTTTGTCCTTTCATCGTAACACTAGACCAGCTTTGTCCTTTGATCGTAACATTAGACCAGCTTTTTCCTTTGATCGTAACACTAAACCTGCTTTGTCCTTTGATCGTAACATTAGACCTGCTTTGTCCTTTCATCGTAACACTAGACCAGCTTTGTCCTTTGATCGTAACATTAGACCAGCTTTGGGTCTTTTCAAACGGAAGGTGTATGTAAATGTGTCTCAAAGGCCCATTCTTCCATTGCGCGAAATAATTTTGATTGCCCTATTACATTTTAACATTATTCAACTAATCTTAGTCAATAAATGTGTGCAGACTACGAAGTTTATAAAATACATACAAATATTTATTCGTCTATTAAATGAGCTATTTCAATTTACAATAATTTGCATGGAAGTTGTAAATATAAATTCCAACGTTTTTTAAAATATCAAATTTGTCAAAAGATTGATTTTTGGGGTGATTTTTGAATGGAAAAATCTTACTGTTTACGGCGCCTCTGTGTTATTCTGTTTCTAAGTCTAACGGTATAAAATGAAGACGTTGTCAAAGATATGTGCCTGTTGTACTTCTAATTGTCCATAAAATCCCGTAAATAGCGAGGGTATTTCTATTTTGTTTCTGCGATTAACGCTTTGGTTTTCTCGCAATGGATGAGTTCATCCAGCATATCTGATTTTCCGACATTTTTACCAGGAAGGGGCTTGAATGCTTGACCTCTTTGTTTCTCTGTCTTGCGAATCTGATGTAGGCCCACCCTCTAACCAAAATTTCATTTCTATATTCTTTAACAGTGCACAATTTCCATTAAAAAAAAATGTAATGATTTGAAATACCACTATTGTTAGAGAGTTTCTACCACAACCAGTAGCGTTAATTCGTGGGAAGACGTCAACGGGGCTCAGAAATAAGACGTCTATTCTAATAATTTTTACAATAACATTTCAAGCAACACCATTAGTTCCAACAGAATCCCGCAAATTATTAGGTAGCGGGGCTACGCCTTTTAACGCTATTTCAGTTAGACGAGGTAAACATTCTCCGACACGAGTTTTACGACAGTCCTAAAACCTTGAACGACTTTCGGCTTTTTGGGGACCAGAACAGGGCGGGGCAGCAGCCATGCAATACTAATAGTGTAGTCAGTTTGTTATCGCTAGTATCTGTGGCCCGGACACGTCAGACGCACCTGAAAATGCGCTCCAGCAGCACGTCCGCGACCAATTTTTTTAGCGATAGCGGCTGACTCTGTGAATGTGGCGGCTAAATAACCGAGCCGGCCCAGCAAGAAGTCAATCAGGAACTCGAGAGAGTGTTAGGGTAGAGGGTGATACAGTTTACAAGTGTGGCAGGTAGCTGGTGATCGGAAACATTTCCCGCAGTAAAAATGTGCAAGTTATACAACTAAAACCCTATTGACCATGACAAAATATTGTCCTGTTTCCCGATCCACAGGCCCGTGTCCCCAAAATGCATACATTACAAAAAGGTGGTTGACTTAAGCTGCCCCCCCCCCCTTTCCCCCAGTATTTCATATCACGCGGGATAAATTAATTTGTTATAATTATTTATTGATAGAGCTACATTTTTGTCTTATTAAGGAGCAAAAGAGGGAAGAAAAATAAAAAGGGGGGGGTGTGTTAAGTGAGTAAAAATTATCTCGTTAAAACCTGGCTACGTCACTGATGTCACAATATAATCAAGAATACCCCCCTCCCCAACCCACAATTTGGGAAACAGTGTGTTAATGGCCTACTTTTAAACTAAAGTTTATTGCCTTCAAACATATACACCTGTCTTTGAATAGGCCCACATCTGTCTTGGAATAGGCCCACATCTGTCTTGGAATAGGCCTACACCTGTCTTTGAATAGGCCTACACCTGTCTTGGAATAGGCCCACATCTGTCTTGGAATAGGCCCACATCTGTCTTGGAATAGGCCTACACCTGTCTTTGAATAGGCCCACATCTGTCTTGGAATAGGCCTACACCTGTCTTTGAATAGGCCTACATCTGTCTTGGAATAGACCCACATCTGTCTTTGAATAGACCTACACCTGTCTTTGAATATGCCTACGTCTGTCTTGGAATAGGCCCACATCTGTCTTGGAATAGGCTTACATTGGTCTTGGAACAGGCCTACACCTGTCTTTGAATATGCCTACATCTGTCTGCAGTTATATGTCAACACATCCAAGTGATTTCTACACATGTTTTAGCTTTGGTTTGCTGTGACATAATTTTTACTTGATGCATTTGAGTGTTCAGGCATTCCCCCCAAGAATGTTTCTACTTGCATCGTTTGTTCCATACTTGCACTTTTATAAAAAAATATTCAAAATTGTATCATTTTCATTTTCAGTCCAATAACCACACTTGCAAGTTGTGACACTTGCTATTTGTGACACATGCTATTTGTGACACTTGCTATTTGTGACACTTGCTATTTGTGACACTTGCTATTTGTGACACTTGCTATTTGTGACATTTGCTAAATGTGGCACTTGCTAGTTTTGTGTGTGTTTACTTTATATTTGATCTGCTTATGAAGCTTGCTATCAACTAGGGTAGATATAAACCAGCTCAATTCAATAAAAAAAATGATGCTGGACTTTCCAACGTATGCTCACAGATATTGAAATGTCCACCAACATTTTATCACCTTTATAGCAAACATTTTCAAAGAGTTGAACATACATTTATTACGTTTATAGTAAACACTTTTAAAAAAGTTGAAGATACATTTATCAAGTTTATAGTAAACACTTTTAAAAAGTTGAACATACAACATTTTATCACTTTTATACCAAACATTTTTACAAAGTTGAACATATAACAAGTCATACCCTTTATCTAATGTGATTATGTGAAATAGTCTTTTCGATTCCATCTGATGCATCAAAAACAAATATTTGATCAGGATGAAACTTTCCAAAAATTATTGAATTACGAGAAATGTATGATATTATAAAAATGTTATTGAATGTGGAGGAATGTACATTTTAATTTTTTTTATTGAATGTGGAGAAATGTATGATATAAAAATGTTATTGAATGTGGAGGAATGTACGATTTAATTTTTTAATTGAATGTGGAGAAATGTGTAAGATAAAAAATGTTATTGAATGTGGAGAAATATATGATATAAAAATGTTATTGAATGTGGAGAAATGTACAATATAAAAAATGTTATTGAATGTGGAGAAATGTACGATGTAAAAAATGTTATTGTATGTGGAGAAATGTATAAGATAAAAAATCTTATTGAATGTGGAGAAATGTATGATATAAAAATGTTATTGAATGTGGAGAAATGTACGATGTAAAAAATGTTATTGTATGTGGAGAAATGTATGATGTAAAAAATGTTATTGTATGTGGAGAAATGTATAAGATAAAAAATCTTATTGAATGTGGAGAAATGTATGATATAAAAATGTTATTGAATGTGGAGAAATGTACGATGTAAAAAATGTTATTGTATGTGGAGAAATGTATGATATAAAAATGTTGTTGAATGTGGAGAAATGTATGATATAAAAATGTTGTTGAATGTGGAGAAATGTATCATATACATTTTTTTTATTGAATGTGGAGAAATGTATCATATACATTTTTTTTATTGAATGTGGAGAAATGTATCATATCAAAACTTTTTGGTCCAAAATTTTTACTATTAATTTAGTTTAATATAAAATATTCCTTTGGTAACCTGTACAATACAGAGGAAAGAAATAGTCAATATGACACCATAAATCCCCTCCTCCTCCCATTACATTAATAAAGCTTAAACACAATATAAGAGGCCAAAAAAGAAGACAACTGATCACAAGTCTGATCATTGGAAAACTATGTCGTGTGGACATATGTGTGTGTAAGTATATTTCAATTGATTTATCAGCTGCTACAAGTTCCATGCTGCGAGGAGGCCCTTGCTTGAAATGTGAACTAACATCGAGGAGTAGCGTGAATCATGATAGGAATTGATGGCTGAAGAATTGATGTGAAGTCGTTGATATGCAGTTTTTCAGGGGTCGCATTGGTGAACAACACCCTTCTTAAAATATGGATCAACGCCAGTTTCATTTCCAGCATACCCAGCTTCATGCCCACACAAAGTCGAGGTCCAACACCAAAAGGGATGTATGTGAATGGGTTGTAAGGTTCATACGAAGTGCTTCCCTCAACAAAACGGTCAGGGTTGAATGTGTCTGGGTCCTTCCAGAACTCGGGATCCCGTTGTATGTTGTACAGTGGCATGACGATGGCTGTGTTCGCAGGTAGGTCCCAGCCATTTAACGTGGTGGGCTGGCTGCACTGACGTGTTAGTACAGAGAGAGGAGGGTACAACCGCAGTGTTTCATTAATGGCCGCCTCTGTGAACTTAAGGTTCAAGCATAGGTCATAAGTTGGTTCCTGGGTGCCAATGACCTCCTCGATCTCGGCCATTATTTTGCTCAGGACATCAGGGTGTTTGGTCAGTTCGTATGTTAAAAACTGCAGCGTGCTGGACGCTGTCTCGTATCCTGCGATAAACAACATTATACCTTGAGCAACAATCTCCTCTGGGCTTAGCTTTGACCCCACATCATCTCTCCCCGTCTCGGCTTCAGCGCTGATAAGGTGCTGCAGGAAGTCATTGTATTTCAGTTTGCTAGAGTCCTCTTTTCTCTCCTTCACCATGTACTTGATACTTTCATCAAAAAAGTCCATATCCTCACCTCAGTTTTAAAAAAACCCACCTTCAGATACTTGTTGATGATGGACATGACTGCCGGCAGAGATCCGGCTAAGAATGCCAGAAATTTGACAGAGTTTTTAAAGATGAAAAGACTTCGACCGTGTCTTGTAAAAGGTTCATCCAAGTTGCTCACAGAATCCACATCAATGCTAAAGCCTGTTCCCGTCACAACATCCAGAGCGTAAGCCCCATAAAAAAGTTTGGCACTCCAGGGGATACCATCTTTAGCAAAATTCAACACATGCTCGCCCAGACGCTCGGCACTTCTGTTCACCATCCCAGTCATGGCACGAATTTTGGCAATACTAAAAGATGGACTGACAATCCCGCGGATTCTTTTCCAAACATCCCCCTTGGCATAGAACACCCCTGACGCCACCTCCTGATTCAGGAGAATATTTCCATCATAGGACATGCGATCCCTGAAACTGTTGAAATCTCTGACAAGGATCTGCTTCATCAATTCTGGGTCGGTTACAACCAGAGCCGGATGTCGGAAAAAATAGATTCCATAAACTCTCCCATAGTGAGAATGCCACTTGGCATAAGCTGCCTTGGAGCTGTCAGGACCATACAGGTCCATGGTATTTCCAAAGAAGGGAACAGGTGCTGGGCCAGGTACACCCAATTTCTTCCAGAGTTTAAATGGACTTGTGCCATATCTGATTGAGACAACAGGGAAAGTGGTTGTTACAGCAGAAAAAAACAAATTTCAAGGGCAGATTGATGACATGTTTAACATTGGGGTATGATTTGAAGAGTGGTCTATCCTAATTTAATTTTTTTTTGTGGGGAAAAAATAATGGGGGATAATCTTGAAAAAAAAGGGCACAACATGGAACTGCAAAGTTTTATGAGGAAAACAAAACTGAGAAATGATCAGAATAGTAAAGAGACAATATGGTGAAAATGATCAAAGAAAGAAAGAAAGAAAGAAAGAAAGAAAGAAAGAAAAAAAGTATAAATATAATCCAATAGAAGATGAAAATGGTAGAGTTTTTGATGTGTCAATGAGGATCAGGTGAGTAAAATATTTGCAACAGGTTAAAATTAAACTCACTCGAAGGTTTAAAGATTTTATGGTCAAGAGACGATTTAAACTTTTCATTTTATTCTAAAAAAGCAAAAATGATTTCTGAAAAATATAACCTTTGCCGCCTGTCCATGTACAATATGTAACAGCTTTATCACGCAAATAAAAGTTTTATAAATTGTACCTGTTATAATAAACGTTGAATTTGAATAGTTTTAAGAATTTATAATGATAAAATGGTTTAGTTGAAGGATTATCAAGGATTATCAAATATCAAGGATTATCAAAAATCCTTAGAAACTACCCAGAAAGTTATTCAAACACAAGTAATCTTGATATAAGTTATTGTAAAAAACATAAATACCCCACAATAATAATTTCATAAATTTTAACAGACTTGTCCAATGTTATATTTGGTGTCTATAAAATAACAGCCCTGACTTCAAACTAGTTGGGTAATTTAAATACCACTGCATTTTTATTACTGGAGGCATGTGTCCACATTTAAAACTTTAACTATTTTTAAAATTTTTTTTGATTGTGATTAGGTACAAATCTACTAGTGGGTAAAGTTGCTTGGCCGATCAGCAATAATTTTGTAAACTAAATTTATTGTGCAGTCTTCACTTTATTTTTCCTTTCACATTAAGTATCATTAAATTACTTGGAAATTTTAACACTTAATGCAAAATTTAAACATATAAATAAAGAATTGAGTGGTTAACTAAATCATATTTATGTAATACTTACAGGTAAAGTAGATAAATGGACAGTGGTATGAGTATTGACCACAAGGGAATGTCCACTGCCTCAAGGTAAGGCAAGCTGAGATTCATATTTGAGAGGACACTTGTGCTTGAAAGTCACTCTTGCCAAACTAATTAGATCAACTCTTCTTGTATTTAGCTTCCGCGTAGCCTAGAACAAAATAAATAATATCATTAATGGAAAAGTAGCTGTCAAATAAGGGACTCACGTGATGTAAATAGAGAATTAAATATGTTTACCTTCCTAGGAACATAAAAATATTACATGGTGTCAGAATAAATCTACCAACATCTCCCATTGTATCAGAAAAAAAAGGACTAGCTCTGTAAAGATTCAATGATAATGCACAGATTAGTCAGCGAATTTCAGTGCACAATACTTAAAATTGCGTTATAATTTCCATAGCAAGACTCGAAGGCTCCATATTGTTATAATTTCCATAGCAAGATTCGAAGGCTCCATATCGTTATAATTTCCATAGCAAGACTCGAAGGCTCCATATCATTATAATTTCCATAGTAAGACTCGAAGGCTCCATATCGTTATAATTTCCATAGCAAGACTCGAAGGCTCCATATCGTTATAATTTCCATAGCAAGATTCAAAGGGTCCATATCGATATAATTTATGTTCACCATGGCAGCAGTATGGCACTTTGAAAAACCAAGTCTCAAAGCTTCAGGACTAGTTTCAGGAGTTCTAAAGGTTTCAGCAGCAAGTAGAATTCATCTCCAAAGATCTGCTGGCCTCAACTGATGACAAAAGCAAAGCTGGATGGTTTGGAATACGGATCAACAAGCAGGGTTGGCAAATATACCGAAAATTTGTGTTCAAGGAAGGAGACCGAGATAATCTCAACATCTTATTAAAAAAGATAGAAGAGGATGTTTGTCCCAAACAGAACAAGAGAGTTTACAGATTGAGAACCCATCAGAGCTAACCACCAGAAGGCAAAAGTTTTGATAATTATGTCAAAGACATTGCATTGTTGCTAATGGATGTGAGTATGACAACACTGATGACATGTTAGTTGATCAAGTGAGCAGAAAGCCTAGGATTACTGCAAGTGAACAGAGCTGACTTAACGTCAGAGAACGACTTAACGTCAGAGAATGTCTTAACGTCAGAGAATGACTTAACGTCAGAGAATGACTTAACGTCAGAGAATGACTTAACGTCAGAGAATGAGTTAACGAGTGACTTTCCAGAAATAAGGAAAACAAGTGAAACACTGTCAGGAGAATACAATATTCATCTCGAAGGGAATGCAAAAGGAGTAATCCATTCCCCTCGTCGTTTAGCGGCATTGCTGAGCAGCAAAGTCATTAATAAACTCAAAGAAATGGAATTCATCACTCCTATACATGAACCTAATGAATTTACAGATGAGTCATTAGAAATGATAAGTGCAATGAAATTAAGAACTTTACATACAAAGAACTGACAACGCTGAGTGAAGTCATCATGTCAGGATGGCCGGACAAGAGAAGCGAGACTCCAATTGAAGTTGGGTCATATTGGGACTCGCGTGATCAATTGTCAAAGTCAGTTGGCATAATACATAAAAGTCTTAGAATTGTGATGTAAAGGTCTTAAAATTGTGATACAAAGGTCTTAGAATTGTGATACAAAGGTCTTAGAATTGTGATACTGCCAAGCATGCATTCAGACATGTTAAAGCTGATACACAAATCTCACTTAGGGATAGTGAAGTGCAAACAAAGAGATAGGGAAGTTATGTTTTGGCCTGGTATGAACACAGACATTTAACTGAAAGTAAAAGAGTATGACAGATCTGCTGCACACCAAAATGAACGAGTTGCAGAACCTCTAATCCTACTAAGACACCGGACCTTGCATATAGCATGGTTGGAAGAGATGTATTTCAATTTGAAAGAGAAAAGTATGTGCTTCTAGTAGATAACCATTCAAAGTTCATTGACTTGGAAACACTGTCCTAAGAAGAATTGGTAAATTGGAAGATGGGATGCCAAGATTGGCCACCATCTTGGTTGACAAGACCAGTTAATTCTGTCACTAAATCTAAGTAATTGTATCCCTAAACCTAACCTTAACCTTAATTCACGGCAACTTTAATAAACATGCAAAAGACGTCGTGGCATCCGATCTTCCTTTTAGCCGAAGAATCTGAGCAATAGTGCGAGCCTTGAAAAGTGTATTCCCATGTCATGGAGTACCCCGCAGGTTGTGCTCAGACAATGGACCGCAGTTCAGTTTGACAACGTTTTAGAATTTCTGTAAGCTATGAGCTAGCGCCGAAAGTGAACCATAACACGACATATAGGCCTACATGTACTACAGTTACACATTGTACTTACTACTGTACTAGTACTGAGAAAATCATATATTTGAATAAAATGATTAAAAGTATTTAATTATCAACAATAAAACCCAACTTAAATTTTCATCAAATACACTTTTTACTTTAATTTTTACACACTTTGTTGCAGGTCCCACCAAAAGTAAAATCCAAAGGTTGTCAGAAAAAATCATAACCCATTTTTCAAAATGCCTGAAAAATCAGCCAGTTTTAAATATTATAATCAATCAACCACTGAAATATTAATTTATATTATTCCTAATATTAAAAAAAATAAAAGTTAACTCTGGTAACAATCCAAGAATAAACAAAATCAAAAGGGAGAGAATCCTACACAGAACCTCAGTGGTGCATTTACACTAATTTACAGTAAATTAGTCAAAATGATTAAATTTCACCCAAACCAAAATGACACTAACAGGTCCTAATGGCATAGGCCTATGCCTAACTTATTATACTAATACACTCTATATGATAATTGATATTGCCATAGATGTTTGTAATTAACTTTATTTTAAAACCTAGGCCTAGGCCAATACCAATAATGCCAATAATAGTCTATTCTATTGAAGTATACATTACAATATACTTTAAAAAAAAAACAAAAAAACTCTTAATGCCGTTATATCAGTTACAATTTCGTGTCTTACATTATTTGTCTATTCTTACTCGTCTTTACAAAGTTATAACTGACGTAGACTAGAGTCAGTGTGTCATGACCTGCGTAGAAGAGCAACTGTACTACGACTACAGCGCTGAGTACTTACCCTGACCCTAGGCGTATGCTTAGGCTTCAGCCTAGCTCTAGTCTAGATTGATTTAATTATAAAAAGGCAGGTCGATCACTGCATGGTTTGGATCCACAAAAGCTTCCTTCTACTTCCATTCATCCGTAACACATGTAACTTTTGAAAGTAATCAGTAAACGAAAACTTCTCTCCGAAAGATTATTTAATGTGTGTTTGTCCACGACTTTTCCTGTGTGGTGCTGACCAGCAATCTTGCTGCCGCGAAGTTCAGTCAGGTGAGTAATTTTGTGCAGATGTTAGAGGGAAGTAATTAAAATATATTTAAAAAAAACAAACCAATTCATTTCTAAATATGGTGGTCGGCCCTGCTTATTCACTTTCTGAATTAGAATAGATTTAGTGACTTAATTTAATGATTTTAAAATTCAAGTTTAATCAGTTGTCACTAAGACTAAAGTCCTAAATTATTAATAAAAATTTGATTTATATTAAAATTAAAAGGTTTAGGCTAGGAACATTAACTGTAACTATTTATATTTATATAAATTATTATGTCCCTTAAAACTTCACAATCCTTTGATTGAGTTCCACAGTCCTTTTGCCTTGGCCCTCTAGGATAGGGTGACCAAACGTCCCGTAAAAACGGAATTCTCCCGTTTTTCACGATCGTGCCCGGTGTCCCGAAAAGTTACCCGGGGACGCCTAAATGTCCCGTTTCTAAAACCAAACACATTTTCACATGTTAGATAAGAAGGAGGTTTTAAAAGGGGCTGGGACAACAGCCAAATATCCTCAATTTTAATCCTAGACTAGAGACATTTAATTTGTTGTGTTGTATTATGTTGTAAAATATGTATAAATAAATAAGTATTTACTGCCAAATTATTGTTTTCGCTTTTTATATGCCCCAGAGTTAAATTAAATTACAAAAGTGGAGGTAAATTAATTTTTTTTTTCTAGGTCTCAAAATAGTTAAAATGAGCATATTTCAAGTAAACAGTTTCCGGTGGAGCCCCCCCCCCCCGGACCTCTCTTTAGCTGGAGGGTAACACCCCCCAGCAACCCTCTTCCCGTTTTTTTCAGTTAATGATTTGGTCACCCTTTTCTAGGGGGACATGTTTAATATTTTTATTTGGTCCAAAGATCTTTATTTTATTTTAAGAATTATATATATATATATAATAATGATTTGGTCACCCTTTTCTAGGGGGACATGTTTAATATTTTTATTTGGTCCAAAGATCTTTATTTTATTTTAAGAATTATATATATATATATATATATATATATATATATATATATATATATATATACACACACAGTGGTACCTCAGTATATGTCCTTAATCCGCCGTTCCGTATCCTTGGACTTACACCAAACACGATGTTTACCAAACGTATTTTTCCCATAAGAAATAAAGGGAAAATGATTAATCTGTTGCCATGAAAAAAAAATCATATTGCTTTTGGCATATTATAAAATTATTGACGTGTTTGTATAAAATAATTTAAACACTGCTTAGTACTTAAATACATAAATGAAAAGAACTTGGGTGAAATAAATGAAAATTTAACCTAACTTTACCTTGGCGAGAAGAGTCAAGTGCTTACTAATATGGGGCTGAGAAGGGTTATTGTTTTGAAGGAGAGTCCGCTTCCATAAAACTTCAGGCTCAGGAATATGACGTTCTGTTTTTTTTTTCTGTCTCTTTTTCTCTAGTTGACCCTGGTTGAGGCTCACCAGGTTTGACTTTTACAAAAAATCTGTCTAAAGAGCATTGCTTCTGACTTCTCCTCAGGATGTTTCGAAAATGTGACATGGTCTTGTCATTCCAGGCAATGCTATTACGACTTGTTTGGGCTTTGTTGGGGTGGTACTTCTCTGCAAAGTTTTCGACATCCATCCATTTAGCTAAGATTTCCTCGATTAATGAAGTAGGAGCTTCCTCTATCTCCTCCTCCTCAGAACACGAAGAGAGTGCATCCATCCTAGTCTTTGCGCGATATGTCGTAGTCCAAACGAAGGTCTTATACCAAACAAAATGTTTCTCGTCCAAACAGGACGTATACCACGTTGGACTTATTCCAAAGCAGACCACTGTATATCAAAGAATATTAAAAAATCACACTCAAATCATATTAATATAGTCTATATAATATTTTATTATTTTATTATTTTATTATTATAAAAATATATTTTTTTTACAACAAAGTTTTTGGTGATAATCAGTTAAACATACCGAAAGGGGTAACATACAAAGATGGAATGCGTGGTATGACCCGTGGAATGAAATATGATAATGAATAATGAATGGGGCGATGAGTGGCACGTGATGAAAAGAAAGTGATGACGGCTGTTCCTCCGTTATACTCTTCCGTGCGATCCTTCTTGAATATGACCGCTTTCTCAGTGAGGGAAAGAAAGCGACTTTGCCTAGCGAAGAAATTGTCCAGAGTAGTTTATGCCATGTTCTTTACATACGTATCTATCTGCGTGTATTTACACTAGTTTTATGAAAGGGGGGAGGGACGGGTATGTTTTACTTTTACTGTTTAATGGACTTAGGCTAAAAATAACTATTGTTTGTGCTTTTGCTCTAAAAATAGTTTCCAATGAGGTCTCCGTATACAAAAATGTGTTAAAGTTTGCGTTTAACCTGCACTGCCAAATGTGTTGTCTATATTCAGCTAATAGTTAGGCCTAACTTGTTACAACATGGTATTTAGATGTCTAGGGTAAATTACGTCACACACTAAATATAGGCCTAGCCTGGAGTAATTTTTTTGCTTTGTTTTGTTTTGTTTCTATTTTGCTAATCGTATGAAAGTTAATATATTTGTTATTTTTATTTATATCTTATTTTTATTATCTTTATTATCTAAGATAATTTATTTACAATATGCTGTATTAAATTAATTACAATAAAAATAAAAGCTACAAACAATCTTTTTTTTTAAAGGGAAGATAAAAATATTTCGTGGAAGAAGTATCAAATAGATCTTTAATTGTTGGATAATTTCCCTTACTAGTATTTTTACAGCAAAATGACGAAATGTTTTGATAAAAAAAAAGAGTTCTAAAATTCCGATAAATTAAATTACAAATATGTCCTCCTCCACTCCCCTCTCCCTCCCCGCCTCAGCCTCATTGACACTGGAGTGGAGTGTTTCAGTGCACACCTTTAAAGTCGAGAACGTGGGTTAAAATTTAAAAAAAAAAAATACTATAAAATAAAAAAAAAATATGACGCGCCCTCTTCTAGCGGGTATTCATAAATCTAAAAAACGGCTATTGTCATCCTCTTTCACGAATCAAAATTAGACATAAAATTTCCCATGGGCAATGATTCCATTAGAGACACATAAGCTCATACACGGCCTTGCTGTTTCTATGTTAATCCAAGTCGGCGGAGGTTTGCTCTTACTGTGTGAAACCTCCGACTCCTATTGCACCTTACGTCTATATTCTACTCCTAATGTAGTGGAAAAAAAATCCAACTTTCAGCAATAACAATGGCGATCACTTAAGTTTTTAACTAGTTTCTATTTCTTGTCGTATTTTCATTTGTCTTGTTGCTGAGGAAGGCTCTTAGCCGAAACGTTTACATCTCTTCTATTGTCCCGTCTTTCTAGTCAAGCACTCGCATACCTTGTTCCACTGGTATAAATTATTGGATGTACCAAGGTGTGGATTATTGAATGTACCAAGGTGTGGATTATTGAATGTACCAAGGTGTGGATTATTGAATGTACCAAGGTGTGGATTATTGAATGTACCAAGGTGTGGATTATTGAATGTACCAAGGTGTGGATTATTGAATGTATCAAGGTGTGGATTATTGAATAGCCCGATGTGTGGATTATTGAATGTACCAAGGTGTGGATTATTGAATGTACCAAGGTGTGGATTATTGAATGTACCAAGGTGTGGATTATTGAATGTACCAAGGTGTGGATTATTATATGGCCCGAGGTGCGGATTATTGAATAGCCCACGATGGGGATTATTGAATGTACGAAAGTGTAGATTATTGAATGGCCTGAGGTGGGGATTATGTTGCGTAAAATCACTGTGAGAACTCTAGACACGTACAGAAGATAGATAGAGAGAGAGAGAGAGAGAGAGAGAGATAGATAGAGACAGAGAGAGAGAGAGAGAGAGAGAGAGAGAGGGAGAGAGAGAGGATAGACCTGTGAAAGAGAAACTAACAGTAGTGTGTGTGTGTCTGTGTTTGTGTTTGTGTTTGTGTGTGTGTGTGTATTTGTCCATGAACTCGACAAGAACCATCTCGTCTTCCAAAAGTTACTTTGTGGCTGGTGGGCTGTCCATATAATAATGTCCCCCAAACTCACTTTTCTGGCTCCAACACTACCATTGTTACAACTCATGCGTTTTAAACACTACCATTGTTACAACTCATGTTTTTTAAACACTGCCATTGTTACAACTCATGTTTTTCAAACACTGCCATTGTTACAACTCATGTTTTTCAAACACTGTCATTGTTACAAATCATGTTTTTTAAACACTACCATTGTTACAACTCATGTTTTTTAAACACTACCATTGTTACAACTCATGTTTTTAACACTGCCATTGTTACAACTCATGTTTTTTAAACAATACCATTGTTACAACTCATGCTTTTTAAAAGCTACCATTGTTACAACTCATGTTTTTTAACCACTGCCATTGTTACAACTCATGTTTTTAACACTACCATTGTTACAACTCATGTTTTTAACACTACCATTGTTACAACTCATGTTTTTTAAACACTACCATTGTTACAACTCATGCTTTTTAAAAGCTACCATTGTTACAACTCATGTTTTTTAAACACTACCATTGTTACAACGCATGTTTTGAACACTACCATTGTTACAACTCATGTTTTTAACACTACCATTGTTACAACTCATGTTTTTTAAACACTACCATTGTTACAACTCATGCTTTTTAAAAGCTACCATTGTTACAACTCATGTTTTTTAAACACTACCATTGTTACAACTCATGTTTTTCAAACACTACCATTGTTACAACTCATGCTTTTTAAAAGCTACCATTGTTACAACTCATGTTTTTTAAACACTACCATTGTTACAACTCATGTTTTTAACACTACCATTGTTACAACTCATGTTTTTAACACTACCATTGTTACAACTCATGTTTTTTAAACACTACCATTGTTACAACTCATGCTTTTTAAAAGCTACCATTGTTACAACTCATGTTTTTAACACTACCATTGTTACAACTCATGTTTT